AAAAAACAATAGGAATATAAAATGTTGACGTAGCTTAACCGTGACCACACAAATAGAAGGGGATGGGAAGGGCACGGTAACAGGAGGGCAAACAATCTGCCTCCTTGACAAACCTGTCTTTTATAGAGGAAAAAAATTTTATCTAGAGAATAAATGATAATATAATAATACGAGAGATTAGATCAAACCTTCTTTGGTTTATTTGGTCTTTCATCTAATGCATGTTCTGCTGATCTCCTTTTCTTACTTCAGTAAAAGGCACCTTTTTTTTTTTTTTTTTTTTGGGAAGCCAGTAAAAGGCACTTCATTAGCTTTAAAATCCATGTATCTGCCTTCTAAGAGATCCATTAAAAGAGAGAAGAGAAGTACCCTCCAAATCTTATGACTTGTTTAGTACTCTACTTTAATCCAATTTTTTACATTTAAAAACAATTTTCAAATTTTAGGCCTTCAAAACTTGTTTGGTATGACTATTTTCAAAATTGAACTCAAGACTAACTCAAAAATATAATTTATTATCTAAAAACATTAAACAAATGAGTTTTTAGAGTTTTTAAATTTAAACTCACTCTTTTATTTTATGTCCCTCCTCCCCTTTCACTCCAAATCTATCTCTCTCTTTTCTTTTTTCTCTCTCTTTTTTTTTTTTTTTTTTTTTTTTTTTTTACCTTTTTCGTCTCTCCTTCAATCCGCTATCTTCATTCTCTTAATTCTTTCTCTCACTCCTCTTCCTCTCTATCTCGTCCGATCCTCTCTTTTCTTTCTCTTTCCTTCAATCATCTCTTACTTTCTTTCCTTCTCTCTCCTCTTTCTCCCTTTCTTGCTACACCCTATTTTTAGATCTTTTTGTCTAGTTTAAGTCGTAAAATTTAAAAATTTTAAATTGCAAACCAATCAAGTTTTTGAATCTTAAAAAAAATTGTTTTCAAGAAATATTCTTAAGAAATGTTTTGAGAAATGATAAAAATTTTCAAATAGGATATCAAACAGACCCTTGGTTTTCCGCATATATTATTTTAAAGACTTAGAGGGCATATTTTGAGAGGGCAAAAGAACATAAAAATGGTAAGAAAAGAAAAAGGATTACCAAGGAGAACTGTTTGGGTCAATTAAAAAGCTGAGGACATTAACACTTATGCTTTTCTATTAGTTTTACGACCATCCTAGCCTTTCATGCTAAGTCTTATCAGACAATCCTGACCCTCCATTTTAATTTTAAAACCAGCGGCCAACTTAGCTGGACGGCTCCTGTCCCACATTAAGACCTAACTAGGGTTTTCTTCCACTATAAATAGACAAAATTACATGCAATTGCAGCAACATACAGAAAACCTTGCTTGTTATTAAGAAAACTAGAGAAAAAAGCAAGCAGAAGATGGGAAAGCAATCCTCACTCTTCTCTTTCTGCAACATGTTCAAAGCCTGCTTCTCAAGCCGTAGAACAGACGATGTGTACTCCGATGATGGCGGTGTTTATGTTAGACGGAGAATATGTCCCAGTGATGAAGACAGAGGTAGATGGACAGCCGAACCTGGCATCGACCGTAAGGCCACTGCTTTCATTTCCAGATTCTACGAGAGTCGTGTTTCGGATCCCGAATGCGAAGCTCTCGCAGTCTGATCAGTACCAGGTTTCAATTGAGCCAGAAATGTAAAAAGTGGTTTGATCATGATCAGCTGATTGTATTTATCAATTTTTGTCATGCTTCCTTCCTCCCCTTCTTCTTCTTCTTGTCTAATGTAATATTTTCTTGGAAGTGTGCATGTAAGCTATGTCAGTTAGTTATAACAAATAATACAGATAATAAATTGTCTTGTAAAACATATATAGTAATTCCCTCCTTCACAGTTTTTTTCTGCTTTGTTTTTTTTTTTCTTGGCCAGTTTGCTTATATATTTCCATTAATATAAACTTATATAAAAATTTGACAGTACTAGTAACTTGATGTACATGCACAAACCCAAGAAAGGGTGAACTCGCTAGCTATTTTTTCGTGCACCTTAATTAATTTTCACTTGCATACCTTATTATTTCTCTTTGCTACCGTTTGATAGTGGGATGGGATGGAAAGCAATGGAACGGGACGCACTCATCCCACGTTTGGTGTGTCAATTTGCTTAGGATGCGCTGTCTCGCGGAATAGATTTTAGTCTATTTTTTGTGCCACCCTCCCCCTAGAACGACTTGTTCCAGCCCATAGAACACAAAATAATAACTTGTAGGACAACAATACCGATCCTCTTTTTCATTAATTTCACTATCTACCCTCTCTCCCATAGCCTCCCTCTCGTTTACCCTCCCTCTCTCCTGTAGCCTCTTCCTCCACCACCATAAACCCAGCAACCTAGGCTAACCTAATCCCAGTAAAGCCATCCGAACCCAACCCCTACTAGCCTCCCGCTGCCTCCCTCCTCTCTGCTAGTCCCAAGACGAGACTATCACCCTCCACTAGCAAGACGTGGCCAACGTCGTCGCTCGAGGGATGGGATGGAGAGGATTAGGCAGAAGATGTGAGGGATGAAATTGAACTCGTTGGCGGTGGCTCAGGTAAGGTCGAACTCGTCAGGATGGATGGTTACAATTGTCATTTAATCCTTCGTTCCATTCTGGCTTAAGCGTACACCAAATGTAGCATGGAACTTCCGTTTCATTCCATTCCGTTCTGTTATGTCCTGTTCCGTCTCGTTCCATCCCATCTGCGTACCAATCGGTACCTGAGGGATGACGTTGAACTCGTTGGCGATGGCTCAGGTAAGGTCAAACTCGTCGAAGTGGATGGGTACGATTGTCATTTAATCCTTTGTTCCATTCTGGCTTGAGTTTACACCAAATGTAACATGGAACCTCCGTTCCGTTCCGTATGCGTACCAAACAATACCTTTTTGTACCTTTTTTTAGCTTTATACTTCATTTTCCAATTATTTAAGCTAGTAACATATCTATAAATTTGCGCAAACAAATATATGAATCAAAATTATATGGGTGAAAATATTTCAAAAGGAAATAATTTATTAAAAGAATCCAAAATGAAATTATAGGGTCCTCAATTCACTGTCCACATTGGACAATAATATATGCAGTTGATTATAGAACAATATCTGATATTACAAGCTGTTCCTGAGCAACCTCATTTTTCTTATAGAAGCTTAAGTCTAAGTTTACCAGATGGAAGGTAAATATCAAATTTTAAAGGGGTCATTTGATATGGGTTCAAAGCAACTAAAAATTGGACATATTTCAAAAGTAAAAAAGTCATTAAAAATTGAACTTATTTCAAAAAGTAGTTTATAAAATTGAATCTATTTCAAATTTTTCTAATTTTTTTACTTTATTAGAGAGATCAGACAAAAAAAAAAAAAATTAGAGCGCTGAATTTCATGCTAACTTGGCAAATCTTATCGGTCACCAGCTGCTATCAAAAGCTAACATCAATCTGAATTAAAGTGGCCAACTTTTCTTTTCCCCAAAGAGAATTAAAGGAAAAGAATATTTTTGTCCACTTCGAAGAAAGCAATGATATGTACCACATAGAGTACCCGCAGGGAATATAATGTTAAAAATGTTGTAAACAGCATCTTGTTTAATTAACTTTTTTTTTTTTTGCCTTGATTTGCATGAGTAAAGAGTAATCTTGTGAGATTTATATCAAAAGTAGTCGGTTTTAGTAAGAAATTACTTAGTTTTATTATGTGAAATTATGCTCATCGATATTCCTGGTTTGTAAGTATCGAGCCACACAATTCTAACAGAGAGGCCACATTACTCAAAATAGTCAATTGCCACTTCCTTAATCACTTCCACTTTCCACATCATTAGATGACCAAATTAATCACACCCATTAACCAAATTAATCACACCCATTATGCTATTAACCATGAAATCACGTGATGTCGGCTGCCATTTCCAAATGAAGAAAAAATAACAGTGCCCTGGTTTTTGGTATTAAGATATCGACTCTAATGGCATACAGAAACCTAAAGTCATCTCCAATTGAAGGAGGGACAGATGACCCTCTCTAGTCCTATAGTCCTTCAAGAAATTAATATTTTAATGAACAGTGAACTATATTTCTTACCATTTCCAACCGAGGGGCCAGATGGTCATAGGCCAAACATAGCCTTATGACAAAAAACCATCTCCAACCGAGCGGTTAGAGGGCTATAGGGTCAAACATAATTTATTATTTTAATTGAATTACTAAGGTTACTTAAATTAAAATACCTCAATAATTTTACGTTTCAGATTTTGAGTGTCACGTGTCGATGTGTGAGTAACTTTGCAGATTTCAAGTGTCACGTGTTGATATGTGAGTAACTTTGAAGATTTCTTGTCGATATGGAATCTCAATAATTTTTTGGATAGGATTTCGAGTGCCACGTGGCGAGATGTAATCGGTTGTGACAATTTTTGATAGGATTTTTATCTGCTTCCAATGTCTATAAATAGGGTGGATATTGGCCTATAATTCACACACCTTCAGATTAAATCTCACCAATATCTCTTTCACTTCAAGTTTGCAATGAATTCCAACTTTTGATCCTCTTCGGGTTCCAACTAGGGCTCCTCTGCCAATTCTGAATTGGAAGATAAATGGGCGCAAATGAGGCGAGAAGAAGAGGAGTCATATGAAAAAGATGAAGCATGGCGCAATACATCATATATGGCAGCCATGGCTGGGGTCATGGCTTGTTAGGCAACTGAAGAACAACCTTAATAGGGTGGCTCTATTGCTGGTCGCAGTTACAAGCCACGAAATTGAGAGATGGCGCATCAGAATCTGATGAACAACTACTTCAACCTAACTCGGTGTATAACGAAAAGGATTTTAGACGTTGCTTCCAGATGAGGCGTCATATTCAAGTGTGTACTTCATGATGTCCAACATGTCAATCCATACTTTCCACAAAAAATGGACAGAGCAGGTCGCCTTAGTTTCTCACAGCATCATAAGGTTATTATTGCTCTCTGAATGCTGGCCTATGCCTCCCCAACTAATGCGATGGATGATACATATGGTATGTCTGAGTATACATGCCTTGATACTCTTGCTGAATTCTGTGAAATAACTGTTCAGCTTTACAAAGAGGAGTACATCCGTCAACCAAATCAAGTAGATCTAGAGCGGCTTCTTCGCAAAGTTGAAGTTCGTGGCTTTCCGAGCATGATAGGGACACTAGATTGCATGCATTGGCAGTGGAAGAATTGTCCCACCGGATGGAAAAGAGGTGGAAAATCGAGAAAGCCAACAATTATGTTAGAGGCGGTTGTATCATTTGACATATGGATATGGCATGCTTTCTTTGGAGTCCTAGGATCCCAAAATGATATTACAATTCTTGGTCGTTCACCCCTTTTCAATAACCTGACGAAGGGTAAATCACCTAAACTTGACTACTACGTCAACGGTCGTCAACACAACATGAGGTATTACTTGGCAGATGGCATCTACCCAAAGTAGGCAACACTTGTCCAAACAATTGCAAACCCTGCGAATGATGCCGAAAAATGGTTTACCTTACACCAAGAGGCATACCGGAAAGATGTTCAAAGAGCTTTCGATATTCTACAAGCACAGGGGAAGATCATTAAGAAACCGATAAGAGGGTGGAGTCGAGAAAATTTGGAATCCATCATATGATGTCTTGCATCATATTACACAACATGATTGTGGAGGATGAACGACATGGGTATATTGATGGAGAGTCTGATAACGACGAAGAGGATCCAAATAGATCAAGAAGAGCTCATGCAAAAATATATGATGGGCCTAATTTATCTTTCAATCCAAGAACGGGTACTATCTCTTTAAATGAGTACATGAGGAGCCATTGGATGATACGTTCCCGTGCAACAAATAAGTACCTACAACAGGATCTTGTTGCACATTTTTGGGCCAAAAGAAGTATGGAGTATGCGTTTTAGTTTTATATTGTTAAATGTTTTTAAAAATGTTGTCTAGGTTTCATGTTGTTAAATGTTTTTTTTTATATGTTGTATAGTTTTTATTTTGTTTAATGTTACTTAATGTTGTTTAATATTGTTTAATGTTGTTTCATGTTACTTAATGTCATTTAATGTTGTTTAATGACTTAGGAAGTTATAGGGAAAAAATAGAAATTTTAAATTAAAAAAAAATGTTGAAAAAATAAACTGTAAAAAAAAAAAAATCAAATATAGTGGCTAGCTGACGTTAGCAGGTAGCCTTTGCATTCAAACGCCCAGCTTGGCTCGGGGCTGAGTTGGGCTAGCCGGTTGACCCTTTTCTCCCTTTTTTGGTCTGGTGGGTCCACAAGCCCTTTGGCCTAGCCCTCGATTGGAGATAATTTTTGTGTTTTTTCGATCCCTGATCCTTTGACCGGATTGGTTGGAGATGGCCTAATGCTTTTGGTTTCAACTCATGGCTAGTTCAAGCAAAACCAAGCACCTTTGAAAAGGCGGCCCTATATGTATAAACTAAGACAAAAATATAAAACTGAAAAATTGCTAATTTTACTAACTCTTTTAAGGTGAAACAAGCCACAAATCAATGTGCTAAGCTAGGCAAGATGCCAGGCTAAAATACTAAAAAGTAAATCCTCTCTCTCTCTCTCTCTCTCTCTCTCTCTCTCCCTCTCTCTCGCCCTCTCTCTCCCTCTCCCTCTCCCTCCCCCTCGCATTCGGTTCTGTTTCTTTTCCGCAGTCCTTTTTACCATGTGCATCTTTAAAGCTTAAAACCCTAAGCTGTATCCACCTTTCCATTCCACTATGTAATTATTTAGTGCCTTTGGTATTTGTTGGAGTATTGTAACTCACTAAGGGCTGGTGTGGAAAATGTTTTCAAATAAGTGAAAGTGTTTTTAGAGAAAATATTTTTGAAACCGATATTTAGTAAAAATGCTAGCTAATCTTGGAAAAGTACTTAAAGTGTTTCCTACAAGGAGCACATAATTCTTGCAGGAAATACTTCATGTGTTTTTTGAAACCAATCTTTAGTAAAAATGCTAGTTAATTTTGGAAAAACACTTGAGGTGTTTCCTGCAAGAATCACATAATTCTTACATGAAACACTTCAAGTGTTTTTGAACCCAAATAATATTTTCTCTAAAAATATTTTCAATTATTCAAAAATCTTTTCCACACCAGCCCTTAGTGAGTTACAATCCTCCAGCAAATACCTAAGGAACTAAATAATTACATAGTGGAATGGAAACGTGGATATAACTTAGCGTTTGAAGCCTTAAAGATGCGCATGGTAAAAAGGACCAGGGTAAAGGGATCCTCCTTCCAAGTAGCTGCAGAAAAGAAACAGAACCCAAATGAGAGAGAGAGAGAGAGAGAGAGAGAGAGAGAGAGAGGATTTACTTTTTAGTATTTTAGCCTGGCATCTTGTCTAGATCCATGTGCAATTTAATTTTGAAAAAAACACTTTAAGTGTTTTCTGCAAGGAAAACATAATTCTTACCGAAAACACTTCAAAACCTTTTGAACTCAAATAATATTTTCTTTAAAAAACACTTTCAATTATTTAAAAGCATTTCTCAAACGAACCCTAAATCTACAAAAGAATCACTTGAGTGAATTGTCTTTCGGATATTTAATTTGCACCCTTTTAATATAGTTAGTGACAGTTAATCTCTATCTGTTAAAAATTAATATTCACAATTATAACTTCAAGTAGTACGTGTGCCTATTTTTTAACTTTGCGTTAATTAACACGAGACAACGATATATAAATCACAAGTTTGCTATATTAAGTTATATATAATAATACTATATGAATGGTTATGACTCAAGACCAAACAAGGTTAACATGCATAGAAAAGTTTTTTATTTATTTTAAATATCTACATTAAGGAATGGAGGAGTGGATTAAGTCTTACAATGGACTAAACATAATAATGTGGTTCAAATTCGCTTTTGGAGAGAATTAAACTGAAGATCTTTCACTTACAAGTGAAAATGAATACTATTAGACCGTTATACCATATAACAAACCCATAAAAAAGTTTTAGAACATATTTTTAACCAGAATTGGATTCCATTAGAGAACCTTAAACGAAAAAACATACAAAAAAAATAAAAATGTGAAGTGGTTGGGAAACATTATCACGTAGAACTCTGGCCAATGCATGGCCCAACCTGAACCCCAACCTTTTGGCAATCCAAACCAAAATATAACCCACCAATTCCCAAGTGGGTAATTCCCCAAGGCTAATGCTGAGTACAACGCATTGGGCCAAGGTCAACACAGCCAATAGTAGGGCGAAAACCCTATAATAACTAGCTAGATTGTTTGCTTAATCCAAGAATCGCTTCTCCAGGAAATGAGGAGACTCGTTGTGACCAGGGGCCAATGACCCCTAAAATTCCTTTATATCTCTCAATTGTTTTTTGTTTTATATTAAATAAGATGGAGAAGAAAATCATTATATCAGATGTTAATAGAGGTGTAGAAAAAAAGAAAAAAAAAAAAAAAAGGGGCTGATGTCTATATGTGCCTTTTTCTCTAACAACATCTCTCTGAATTGTTGTTTGAAGACTTTTTGATTTGTTTTAGATTTTGAATTTGTATGGTTAACTTACTACGAGAATAGATTAGTAATAATCATGCACAATTATGTAATTTGATCAGTACTGGTCAGTTACTATATGAGTTTTGCAAGACTAAATAATATGTTTATTAGATTGAATTAAAATATAAATTAAAATCCTTCTAGTTGTTAGGTTTACACATGCTCTTGTATTAAAACTGTTCTCTATATATATGCTATCATATGGAATCCTAAACTATGTTTTATATCCGTAGGCAACTAGTTTATTCAATGAAATATGAACAATTTAATCAAACTCTTATCGCATGCATGAAGACCAACAAATTGGGAAGTTATTTTGGTGATAACACCGTCATAATTAAAGTGTTACTTTTTTTTTTTTTGGGGTCAACTTAATAATGTGTTACTAATTTACATATTATTATACAAATAAACGACAATATTAATATTTTATAAACCTAAAGTATAATAATACTAAACAAATACACATGTTATGATAAGAGTAGACTAGTAACACACCTTATCTTTATGTGCTAGTTAAATAATTGATTAAGCTTAATTAAGAGTAATACGCATGATTGTGTGGAGTAGCTAAAAGTCTCACAATCTGATAGCCTAAAACTTGAGGCAAATGAAACCAACCAAGACTTGTGTACTAGTACTGTGTTTACACGAACTTGGGTCGGTTTAGGCCAGATTAATTTTGTTTGTTTGAGTAGTTAGGTTTCTGTCCGTATAATCCTGCACTTTGCAAAATCTAAATCCCCACTCGATCAGATGCATCCCCGATCTCATTCACTTACAAAAACTTAGACCTCATCTCCTTTCCTTTGCACATCGCCCCCACCACCACTAATTGTCGCCATAATCTTTGTGTCGTTGTCTGTTCCCACTCAATTATTATGTGGGTCGTCTTGTTCTTCTTTAGAGACAAATCAGAGAAAAGGGCCAAGCAAAAAAAAAAAAAAAGAACATGCATCTTTAAAGGAAATGGCAGAGAACCCAAGAAGAGAAAATGACATGCCCATAAATTAACATCGTTCGGCTCGTTACATGTAAAAATTAAAAGGTTATTCATTATTCCGTGCATAAGAAAAACTTATTCTTGATAACATTACAATAATAAAAATTGCGAGGACATAAACTATGATGTATCTACAAAAAAAAAAAAAAAATCTCTACGTGCAAATATACATGCTCGTATATAAAGTAGCAAACCAAAACCGAAAACCACTATTGAAAAGTTCTCAAAAAAAAAAAAAAAAAAAAAACCAACCATCAATTAATGCAGAAACATGCAGTCTGTTTACATGTGAATACTGCCCCCCAAGCATCCATGGCAGTTATTATTTAATCAAAAGATCCGCTTATATATAAGCCACAATCATAAGTATATATTTTATCAAGGGTAAACTGTCATTGAGAGCATGTGGGATGCAATAAACAAGCTAAACAAATCAATAGACAATTAAAAAATAAAAAAGAATCCGAAGCTAGGGATATGATATCAAAGGGGGATGACTTTCAGACTGCATGATTTTTTTTACACCAGAATTAGTGTTCAGACATAACAGAGCATTCTAAGTTTCTATATCGATTAACCATTAGACTATTGATTAGTTTAAACTCTGGGGTTGTCGAGAGTCCAAGAAAGGCAAAACCCTCCTTAATTAAAATTAAGAATCCCTTTTCTTACTTACAATGTTAGCAACATGACCGTCTTGGTTTACTAGAAAAACACATTATGCAAAGAAGATCATGTGCCCGCTACTAATGGCAAATATTGCTGCTGCCTTGAGACTGCAATTAGTCAAATTTGATAATGCAAGTAATTAATATAAAACTAATTACATTATATGTTCCCATATAGGAATTAGGAAGTGTGGGAATGCTTTTGTCAACTCATGATTAGAATCAAAGCATCACTAATGAGGTTTTAATATTAATCGAAGTACGGTTTGATGCCAGGATGGATCGATTTGATTATGTAAACTGGATTTGTGCATACATTAATGGGTTTAATTAGTTATAAGTAAACAGCATAGTTTTTTCTTTTTGTTGGAGCACACAACATGGTTGGGTATGTGAGTGCATGAGAAATGTTATGGAGATTTTCAGAGTGAGACTCTCTCTATGGACTTTCTGCTACACTCTAGTTTAACGTTAATTTCTATGCTAAAATTTGTAAAATATTACATCAAATATATGATGTGGCAGAGAGTACTTCTCCTTAGCATTTCTCATGAACGCATATATGAATATATAAGGACTGCAAATGGATTTGGCTGTCTTGGTCAGTCTGTGTGCCTACCATTGCATGTGGGAGTCACAAAAGTGGAAGATAATAATGGATAACTAGGCCTGTCCCATAGTCATGTATATTCCACATTACTAGGCCAAGAATTTGCAGCATTGGAGTCATCAGTCAGTCGCTCACAAATTTTACAGATTAGTTATACAGATGAATTGAAGCAACAGACCAATGGGAGAGTAGTCCACAGACTGAATATGCATGTGACAGACTGACATGAAACAAAAACGATTGAGATAGGAACTTAGGAACTTCTCCACAATGAGGCACGATGAATGCTGAATGCTTCTGCAATTAAACATAACATCTATATTATATACAATAAAAGTTTGTAACACATATTATGTTTTAACGGGATAAATAATGCATGTGAATTATCCATGCATGTGCATGACAATTTTATATAAAAATTATTTGAACGTGAGCTTTTATGTCATGTGGGAGATAAGTGACAAACACTATCCAATTAATCCACGTGTTATGGTTTAATTAGATGGTATTGCCAAGTGATAAGAAAGCGCCAGAAAGAAGTCCCAGCCCAAACTTTCTCAATTACCAGGTAAAGAAAGGAGCAAGCAAATTGGTTAAGTTGCATACATTGTGGGATTCATATAGGCCAGTTTATCAAACAAAAAGATTGTAATGCAATAAAAGCTTATCACACACGTTAAGTTTTAATTAAATAATGTATGTCACTCATCATGTCGCGTGACGAGAAATTTCTACTTAAATTTTTTTCGTATAGATAATTGTATACATATCTAGGGGGACATAGACTATAAGCATGCAAATGATCAACATAAAGATTGTAATGCTATGTAATATAATAGTAAAGTGACCAAAAGTCAATTAGGGCCATGAAAAGGCAATTTCATAACTTATATGCCAAACGAAGAGAGAAAGAGAAGAAGAAGAGGAAGAGTCAGATGGGCAAAGCAAATCCTACAATATACGTCACATTCAGAAAAGTAAAGGGATTCACGTGTAGAGAGTCTAAGGGGAAGAGAGGGAGGTCTGTTTGGGAGCGTGCGCCATGTGCTTTGGTGCAGTCGGCCATAAGAAAATATAAAAACCAAAAAACAAAAATATAAAAATAAAAGAGTGATGATCCTCTAATCTCCAAAAAGCCCATCTCACGGATCTTGCCCCTCTCCTTCTCTCCACTCCTATATATACATATATATATATATATATATTATCTTATACAATTATTGTGCCATCCTCCTCACACAGCTCTTGCATAAAAAGCTAGCTAGGCTTGAGAGAGATTTCAGTCGTCATCTTCGTTCAGATTACTGTATTCTAAACGTAACATTTTCATTGGAGAACACCAAGTTTTGAAGCATAAATGGCTTCGTGGAAGAAAACCATTACAACTCCATTCAGGAAAGCTTGCACTTTCTTTAACCAGCAGCCAGGAGGGAGAGACCAGAAGAAGTCTCAGCTTCAAGGTATATACAAACATATATTGTTTCTCTCCTATATACTTCTCTTGTCAGGCTCTCTTGTCAGACTGAGAATTTACGGAGTTTGAATTTGCAGTCTGATAACGTAAGTCTAGCAAGAGAACACTGCTACTCTCTCTCTCATGTGTTAACCGATGTGAATTATCATTTATGGAACAGACTGAGTGATGTTTTGTTCCATAATTTACTTTGAACAGGGAGTGAAAGTAGTGTGATGGCTCTGCATGGAGAAGTGATGGCATGCGCATATGAAGATGTTCAGGTGATGTGGTCTATCCTGGACAAGTCCAAGGCCTCAGCCTGCAGCATCACTTCTTAACATGTATAGATGGCTATGGCTATCAGTAATTGATGCCAATATCTATCTCAAAAAACAGCCATAAAAAAAGGGAGAGAGACCCACGTCAGCAATTAGCAGATATGTGCATACAATTTGGGTCAAAGCTAGCTTGCAACATTTTGGTTCTCATTCTTCTGGATCTGGTGTGCAAGATATAATTACCTGTAGATAGGGCGGTGCTGGGAGGGATGGTGCTTTTGTACTCAAACTCTTTGGTGGCTAGAAAAGGTCCCAACTCAAAAAAAGAGGAGAAGGAGGGGGGATTTGTGAGGCTTTTAATTGTAGAATTGGCCCCCATTATACGAAAGTTTTTTGTTTAGTTTGTAATCTGTTAAATTAATGAATAGGCAATCCATGTGATAAAACATCACATTGAGATTATTAATATTAAACTTTAGAAAAATATTTTCATTTTCTACTTATCTTCTTCTTCTTGTTTCTCTTGTAACTACTACCTTTATCTCTCCTTAGTGGTCCTCAAGTAAGAAAGCTTGCACATTCTCAATTTTAAGATGAATTACATAAAATGAAGACACTAAGGTGGCAGTATGTCAAACTAATCACGAGAGATTATATAAAAATTAAAATAAAATAATATATGTGATAGGTTGGCAATACCACCACTTTAACATCCTATTTTAGTAAGTCGACTTCTGATTCATCGATTATAACCCAAAAACAAAATCCAAATTTTGCATTGTCAACTGACTTGTTTTGCTCTATAGTCCATTTTATTGGTTAGAAAATTAATATAATATCTTAATTTGAAGATATTATAGATCTATTTTTTTGTATGGGTAACTGAATACTAAATATCCTTTACTCCGTTTCTGTAAAACCGTATAAATTAGTAGGAGAAATCTAACAAGGTGCATGGAATTCTAATGAAAATATCAAAAAGCTTCCAACTACTTTTTTCAGCGGTTTAATAGAATCCAACACATTGCTTTTGTAATAAATATGTATATGTTGTGCTTCTTTAGAGATTTTTCATTGTGCCGGACACATGGGTGGTGCAATAAATGTTATTATAAAAGTGGTGAAATACTTAGGGTTAAAAAATTAACAGCTTAAAAGATAAAACTTCTCTCTATCTATTTAATGATATGTGGTGTATCATCTGTGTTCCGTGCATAATAATTTTTTTTTCTAGCTTCTTGTACTTGCTAAAAAACAAGTTTTTATTTTGTCATTTTCACAAACAAGAAAAAGGAAAGTTGAAAACTAAAACGAAAGGATGATTGCCTAATATTGGTTTTGAACTTTTAATGCAGGGAGAATTCAAAGCTGAGATTATTTTTTGGTATACCAAAAGAAACCGAACTCTTGACCAATCTAACCCAAGAGCTTGAAGAAGCTTTAAGTTCTCCATGATTTAATGACATTGACGTTTTGGACGAGTAGTTTGATGGAGATGTAAAAGAGAAGACGAGAGTCATGACATATTTTTTCTTTATTACTCACAGTAATATTTGAAAATTCATACAGCCAACCTCATATAATGAGAAAATGATTTGTTGTTGTTCTACTCATTTCTTAAGCAATCAAGACTAATATCCAAAAACGTGACGCATGCATTTGTTATCACAGATTGAAAAATAAAATGGTGTAAACAGGCCAACAGCACACGATATTAAATAAGTCTATACAATCTGTCCAAAACAAATAATGGAGGAGCTAACAGTGAAGCACAATTTGTGGAGGAAACTGGTGGAACAAAGAAAATGTACCAGTTGGGACGATCTGTCGATCAAAAGGACACATCCGGTACAACAATGCCGTCCTCCAAACTGTTTGTGTCAGGCAGTTAACAGTATTTGATCTCTTTTAGTCGGTGGCATTACAAAAAGGCCACACAAATCCACCTAAATTTGATTTGATTGATTTCAGGAGTCAAAGTAAGGAAATTTGAGATATGGGTAGGCTCCATAAGCCATGATTGGTGCTTTGGATCGTCACTACTTTCACACCGGTGAACGTGACCGACATTGCAGGTGTAAGGTTATGCTAATTGATCAAGCTAGTGTGTTTATTCTTATTTGCACTCGAGTTAGAATCATCTTTTTCGTATAATAATTTTAGAATATCAAATTGTCGGAATAAAAAAGTACCACCAACCTTCTTTTTCAATCATCACTAAAACTTGGATGGATCTGAATAATTAGTGGATCTGTCTTTTTCTTCCTTTAAAGATCAAATGGTCCTATTGTGGTAAATGGAGAAAAGAGGATCATACCCTAAAGTTTGTAATGAAGACTATAAGCGAAGAAAACATGCATTTTTAAGCATTTGAATGCACAACGTGAGTTTGGGAATGCCTACAACTGTTGTATACAACCGACATCTCACATCCAACTCTTAACGAGCAGATCACGTGACAAACGGATTTGAGAGGTTGGTTCTATTTCTATACAATGGTTTTGTAAGGAAGAATTCCACATATATGGAGTACACTTCGCAGGGTATGAACAATGAACTTATTATAGAACCAGAATTAGAGTCAAAACGACGAATTTCTTTACTATGTAGAGAATTTAGACAGACATCTAGCTAGTCAACTACAGGTACCCTACTTCATATTACATCAGTCACAGATTTCTGACTCCTTGCTAGTCGCCTATAGGTGCCGGGCGCCCTCTACAACAAAAATTGAAACCCTCACAGCTGTTTAATTCACCGAGCAATCCTTTCTTCTTTCGCTTGAAGGGCCTCCACTTCCTCGGTTGATAGAAGATCAACGATGGGTTCGTATACATCCCACTCCTTTCTTTTCCTGATACATTTGGGAGCAAAGTGGCAAACCACTATCAGTATTTCAAGTTTCACTTTTTTTAACTCTAAGAATAAAAAAAATGTTAAACACAAGGTACTCAATTAAATCATATCAACCAGAGGGCTGTCATTAGATAAAATGATGTTCCAAAGCTGGAGGGTGAATAAACCCTTGATATTGAACATATAATATAGGGGAAGCTATCAGTGGACAAACTCTTAAGACTGATTGAGCAATTTGGTACAACCTTGCACCGTCTTCTTCACTTAAAAGGGTGAATTTGGAGACGTGTGTAGGAATTAATATCCATATGTATCTCAAAAGGTTAACATTCACATGCTGAAACAATGTATACAACGAAGAGTTTGGTTGATAGCCATTTCATTTTTAGTTTAGTTTTTCTTGATAGGGATAGAAGAAATGCATATATGGAGGAATGAGGAATGAAAAAGGGTGGAGGGAAGAGAGAGAGATGAAGGAGAATGTAAGAAAAGAAAACCTCCAAAAAATTGTTTTCAGTTTTTAGTTTTTAGTTTTCATTTTGAGTACTCTTCTATGCACATTTCTTCCAGTTCCAACCACCCTTCATCCTTTTTTTCCTCCCATATATTTCCCTCTGTTCCTAACAAAAAGGTGAAAACTGAAATGGTTACCAAACAGGCTTTAGTTTCATCTTCCTGTTTCTATGGAGGATTTCAATACGTTAACCTTACAGGGTTGTTGATAGCAGATTTTAGTAAGTAGCCATATGCAGACGACCAAATCCTTCAATTATTGAAACAAGTATGACAGTACTAATTTATAGGTACAGAATAGAGGCCCTAGCCTCTGTGGTCAAGCATTTTCCTCCTCAAAGTAGATCAAGACAGGAGTGAACTGGTGATTTTTTGGTTGAAAAGTTAGAAAATTACAGTTCGATAGTGTAGCTATTCTGGGAGTATTAAGGCAAAAGAAGCTATAGAAAGTATATGGTCTTGGTCTTTGGGAGGCCAGTAAAAGGGTGGCGTAAAAGGGTGGCTGTACCCTCGTGAAGAAACTAACTACCAGGTTGAATGCTAAAAGAATCATGCCCCTAGAAACTAATGCCAAAACAAGAACAACATATAGGAGAAGAGGTGCCTACCAAAAAATGGCCACAATTCATGCATAAAATCCAATGAACAGCAATTGCAGCATTTTAGTTTATTTAACACCATGAAACTTTCCAATTGCAGCTAAAAAAAAAAAAACAATTTCAAAATGTTAGTGTGGTAAGGGACATACCGAACAACACTAGATCTGTGACCAAATAGCTTCACCAGGTCCAATCCAGTACTACCTACTTTACTGAGAGAGAGAGAGAGAGATAGGAGAATTAATCACACACAAATTATATAATAGCATGTAGGCTTTACCATTTATTTTCTTCCTATCTTACTTAATTACGTAAATTGTGCACAACAGCCAGGAAAGGGGAAAAAACTTTTATTTTGAAAAAAACCACAAACCTGACTGGAGTATACTCAGCTCCACGGCGTCCCTTCTTGTTAATTCTGGTTTCTCTTACTGAAGCTACACTTTGAACTACAATCTAGAAGATGAAATACAAAAGGACCATAGTAAATGAGTACAGATTCAAGTGTTCATTCACATATCTTGTGAAATTTAGCTCATAAGGTAGAATAAATGAAAAGAAAAATCAAAGAAGCAACAAAATCTAACCTCATACAGTTGTTCTCTAATTGAAAAGGCAATTGCAGGCTGCAAAAAGAGAATATCTTATTTTGGCAAACTGAAAAGACACTAATGTTCCAACACTGACACAAACTAAAGCTTTGACCAAAATTAATTGAACTTAAGTGTCAACCAAATTTGTAATCATTCAAAAGTTCTTAAATTTTTTCTAGAGTACGATGTCTTACCCCAACTTCAGGGTCTTGAATACCTAAGTCCGCGCAGAAAGTTTTAGCAAACTCTTCAGGATCACTTTCAAAGTTGTTCAAGTCCTGAAATCCATTGAACATGTACAAACCCACATTGTAAGAGCAGGGCATTGAAATGATAAGATAACAGAAGAACTCTTTGAAGCTTACCCATAAAAACTGGTCCCTAATGACAGTGCGGTTCACTCGAAGATCAAGCTGAGAATAGAACAACATCAATAATATTTAAAAAATGGAAAGGTTGTTACTTTCCATTGTAGATAACCATGTCATAATATGATAAAAGTTAACCTTAATCGGAACAATCCTCTCGACGGTGTACATGTCTTGCCCCTCAAATGATCGAAATTCAACAATTTGTGACTGATATCAGACAATAAGGTAATAACTAATCAGTCCCATTACGTATATAATACAAAATCTGATGGGGAAATTAGACATGGTTGAAATGCCAACCTGAATGGCAGAAGCAATGCCTGTGATGAAACCCGGAGGAAGCTTCAAGTCTTTCGCTGTCCTTTTCGCAAACACCACAATCTCCGAGTCAGGGTCTGTCACCAAATTCATCAAACATCAAACCCCAACTTTCAAAATTCGAAAAAAAAAAACACACACAGATAAATAGAAAAATCCAAAGAACTACCAGATGGGTTCCAAGTGAAACAGTCTTTGAACCTTTGGCCGTCGATGTCGAGGTCCAAGCGAATTGGTACCAAATTCTGAGCTGTTGGCCTGCCCCATTGTGAAATTTGTCAACATAATCGAAATTTTCCGGAAAAATCTCATCTTTTCCACGAAGAATAAAAATTCCAGGAATTTGAAAAGGACAATCAAAATCTTCAGAAAATTCGAAAAAAATAGAACAATAAGAAGTAAGAAACTCACATTCTGAACTTGACAGGGCCTCTGGAGGAAGCCGACAGCTGGCCTTTCATGGCTTTCTCTTCTCTTTCTCCCTCCTTGCACCAATTTTTTGATTTCTTCAGTTTACTGGATTTCGGAGCGGCTGACATGCCCGACCCGAGTCTTCGCTTTCTTCTTTTTGGCTCGAGTCTCTGAGGTTCCTTCTGCTCGTCTTTATTTGCCGAAAATACCCTTCCAATTGCCTTCTTCCGTATTTTGTTGACGGGCTCGCAAGTTGCGGGTACGTTTGAACCCGACGTCTTATGATCAATTAGCCCAGCAATTAATTGGATTGGGCCGATGCCGGTCACACCCGCCAGTTGTGGATTAATTAGTCTCTTTAAGTTTCAACAAAAAATCATCCTATAACTTTATTTAATGATAAAGATAAAAGAAAAAAAAACAAAAAACAAAAAAAACCTAATTAAAGGCGCGTGCAAGTGCATCCGACCAATCATTAGTTGCATAAGCCCTTGACATAATCCAAGCATATTTTATTCTTCTAAAATTAAATTTTCAAATTGAAGTGGGTTCCATTCGATTCAGAACCACATATGGGGCGATATGTTTGGGAGGGAGTCGGTCAGGTGTGGGTTTGGATGGTTGGGGGTAGGGGTGGGGCAACTTCATTGACAACATCATTGGACTCATCACCCATTTTTCTAGTAATGATATTGAGCTATTAGCCATGCATGACTTTAACGGCGTGGATTTTGATCTCTATCATGTTTTTTATTTATTTTTTTATAATCTTTTTATTGCATTCTGGTGAAATAAACAATATCGTACAATCAAGTTTCATAAACAATGTAGCGCAATTAAGTTTCATAAACAATGTAGTACTAATAAGTTTTATAAACAGTGTAGTAAGTTTCATAAACAGTTTGTGTGAGGGGCGCGGGTCCACACGTCAAAATTTTTTTTTTAATATTAAAATTATGTCTTTTTCATTAAAATTTAAGTTTTTTTTGTTCTTTTTATTAAAATTTAAGAGTTTTTCATTAAAATTTAAGTCTTTTTCATTAAATAAAGTTATAGCATGATTTTTTATTAAGAAAAACATAGTCTAAGCCTTTTTCATGAAAGTTCCTTTTTTTATTATCTACAAGCCAAATGTTAAAAGAACAAGGTAACTTTCATGAAAAGGACTTGGACTAAGTTTATTTTAATAAAAAAATCATTCTATAACTTTATTTAATGAAAAAAAAAAAAGGAATTGTTATTGGCACTCCAAAATTCTTGTTTTGCACTCCAAACTTTCTATATTTAGAAAGAAAAAAACATTTTGGAGAGTGTATAATGAGATTTTTGGAGTGCTAATAACAGTTCCCAAAAAAAAATTAAATATTAATGAAAAACCTTTAAATTTTAATAAAAATGACAAAATAACTTTAACTTTAATGAAAATGACACAATTTTAATTATAAAAAAATTAAAAAAAAAAAAAAGACATCACATGTAAGATTCGTGCATCCATTACAGACATTGTTTATAAAATTGAACACTATTTATGAAACCGAACAGTACTATACTATTTATTGGTCCAATTTAATAAATAGTGCCTATTTCTTGGTCCACTTTCATAAATAGTGTCTAATTCTTGATCGTGTTTCATAAATAGTGCTTAGTTATTAGGTCCAGTTTCATAAATAATGTATAGTGATTGGTACAATTTTATAAATAGTATCTCTTTCTTGGTCTAGTTTCATAAATAGATGTCTAGTTATTGGTCCACGTTCATAAAAAGTGACTAGTTCTTGGTCATGTTTCATAAAATATTGTCTAGTTCTTAGTCCAATTTCATAAATATTGTATAGTTCAGTTTCATAAATATTTTCCACCTATTGGTTTAGTTTTGGAAATAGTGCCTAATTCTTGTTTTTGTTTCATAAATTATATTTAAAAAGCTGTTTTCAATTACCAAATTAAAATGTCCTTACTTTTTTGACATACCTACAATAATAAATGTAGCTCTCCATCCAATTTCTTGAGCTTGGGTGTCATTTTGGAGAAAATTTTCCTTATGCCTGGAACACAAGTGGTACACCATGTGTTATTATGTAAGTGGTGGAAAATTTTATTTTTTATGTTATTAATTTTTTAACACATGAATCTTACAACTTGTATAGAGACATGTGGTATACCACCCCATGTTCCAAGCATATTGAAATTTTTTTTGTCATCTTAACTACTGTTGGGAAACAACACAACAAAAATTAAATTGAAGAATGTAATTCAATTTGAAGTCTTTTTCTTATTCTAAGCAAAATAATAATAATAATAATAATAATCTATTAACGTAGCTTACAATGGGAGAAAAAAGTGGAGAGTGAAAGGGGGTTTGGGAGGGGGGATGCGCCAGGCGCAAGTTGGGTTTTCATGTGTTTTTTTTTTTTTTTTTTTTTTTAATTCTTTTGTCCTTATTATTAAATAAAGTAAGTGGATGGTTTTTTTTATTAAAATGTAAAGATTTGAAGTCATTTTCATTAGTTTTCCTAAAGAAGAAATCATGTATTTTTTGTTGGTATGTTTTTTTAGGGACCTTTAATAAAAACAACTCTTAAGATAAAATAATAATAATAATAATAATAATAATAAACACTTAATAAAAATTTATAGTAATAAGAACAAATAAATATATCATACACGACATGATTGAGATTGATCAAAGAAAAGATTCAGGTGAAGTTTAGTGACAATATCGTAAATAAGTTAAAGTTAAAAAGGATGGTGACATATTCATAAGTAAGTTGAAGTTTGGGAGGTGGTGGCATTTTCGTAAAAACAGTTGACCTATGTTAGAAATAGTGACATAAATTATGTAGAAACATGAGTGCCACCAAAGTTCAACTTTTTTACGAATAAACAGTTGACCTATCTAGCTAGAAACAGTGTTACTTAGTGTAACGACCCATCCCCAATTATTATGATTTTTATAATTTTAAAAAGTGAATTTACGAAAATGCCCTTCGAGACAAAGTGTTGACTTTTGTTGACTGTCGTGTCGTGTCACGTAATGTTCATTTTCTTGGCGTATTCCTATAGTACTCATCACTACAGACGCGTGGGCGTAAATGGATCGTGATTTGGAGTTATAACGAATGAGATATTAACGTTTAAAGTTGGGAGGCATTTTAGTAAATTAGTTATTTTCTGGAATGCTCCAGATTTTTGGAGCAAAATCTGGTGGAGCCACGTGTGTGGCCTAGATTAAAAGGAAGAAAAGATAGGCGATGGAGATGAGAGATAAATGAGAGAAAGGAGGGGCAGGATGCCCATTCAGAAGAGGAGAGAGAAGAGGGTGACCAATGGGTGAGGAGAGAAAGGAGAGAAGGGAAGAAGGAGGGGAACCGAACCGGTTCCCTCTTGACTCGACAACCCTGCTTAACCCGGTGGTGATTCCTCATCGCTGGGCTTGGTTCTCCGTCGACGTCGGATTTGATTTAACCTTGCTCTTCTCTGTCTCCCTCCTCCTCATATAGGAGCTGGGCAAAGCTCTCAATCTCTTCCATGGAAGCTTCTTCGTCCACGGTGAAGACAAGTTTTGTGAAAAAAATACTATTATTTTATTGCCTATTGTCAGGACTATTCAAGTGCAACAGTGGAGATGTAAAAGGCAGTTACTGTTCATTAAGGGCGGTTATTGTTCACTAGGTGGATTGAATAGTGAATAGCCTAGGGGGGAGGGCTCCCACGATGGAGTTGCTCTAAGATACTTGACATGGCATATACTCGGTTTTCACTACTCTCGAGCATGATTTCTATATACTTATGTATTATTATTTTCTGGAAAATTATATAGGTTTTACAGCAAGGGGTTATAATGTTTTCAAAAGGTTTTTACTAAAACTTTATTTTCAGGCCCATTCACCTTTGGTTTTGCATCCCTTCAGGTTTTAGTTGCTGAAAGTTCGTATCGACGAGGATTCTTGGTAAATCTCAATATAGGTGGCTACTTCCGAGGGTATGATCCTCACCCACACTACTGTACTTTATTTATGCTCTGATGTCGCGTGTGAAATGGGTTCATCCCCGCTCACAGCGCACTTTTGTCTTTAGGTACTTTTAGGTTCAAAATTTATTCACATTTTCCACATCACTATACTTTATGGCTTCGTCATCCAGGTGTAAGCCAGCACAGCTTGATTTGGAATCCTCTGAGTCGGGGTGTGTCACTTAATATTATAATCTAGTGGTATTTCATTTTACTTGTAAGTGAAAAGTATTATGTTCAATTGTTGCTAAAGACAAATTCGAACCAAATTATTATGGCTAGTCCACTATCAGGCTTAGCTCATCCCCCATGAATGTAAATAATATTGTGTGCATTAAAAAAAAAAAAAAGAAGAAATTATGTAGAAATAGTGAGTGCCACCAAAGTTAAACTTATTTATAAAAATGTCACCGCCTCCTTCATTTTTTATTTTTTTATTTTTGAAAATTATTTTTTGAGGGTTTTTTCATTACAACGGTGTATAGGGGATGGGTGAATAAATTGGTTCCGAACTCTTGAGATTTGAACCTAAAACACATAACTTACAAGTAAAAAGAAATACCACTACATGGTAGAGCTAAGTTTTTTTTTTTCTTTCTTAAAAAGCGATACTCTAAATGAGAACTAGTCAAATCGTGTTGATCTCTCTCTCTCTCTCTCTCTCTCTCATAAGTAGTCACAAGATAAGAGAGTAGTGACAAACGGATATCAAAATGGTACCATAGAAAGGGGACACCCAAGGCCCGATCAAAGAAATGGATATGAAATAAGGGACATATAAGTTTGCAAGTGATGATTTTAGCTGGTATGGTTTGGTTCGTACATCGTTGATTGGGGTTGAACCGGTAAGGATTACAGTACATTTCCAACATGACATCACTGATGTGGATGACTTGGTAGTTAAACCTTTCTAAGCTTGGTGGTCATACAATTGTAGTCAATAAGGCCATTTCCAGCCGAAAAAGTTAAACATAAATACGTCCAGAATTATAGCATGTGAAAATTATTTTTAAATAAATAGTGTTAGGCTATACTCATATATCATCTTCAACTGAATGACTAAACATAGCTCCCTCAATAATTTATTAGTTTTAAATTTATTGGTTAATTTTTCTGATCTAACTGTTAAATTTGAATCAATTATTGCAACTGAGGAGTTGGGAAGCAAAAAAAGGGGCTAAGAGGGAGGCTC